CTATCTGGCCGGCTCATCTGCCTGTTATTTTGCTCTTTATTTGTAATATGGGATTTTTCTACAAGAGAAACCAAGTGATATTTAATCTTGTGTGTCTGATTTATTTCACTTAACATGGTCTCAAAAAATGTGAACATTTTCCTACAAATGTTTCAGTTTATCTTTTTTATGGCAGAGCAATACTCCATTGTTGACAAACACCACATTGTCTTTTTCCATTCATGGGTAAAAGGACACAAGCTGCTTCCAGGATTTAGCTAGAATGAATTGTGCCGCTATGAACATGGGGGCACATGAATCACTGCGATTGGATGTCTTCAACTTTTCCCAGAGGGTAGGAAAAGCAGGGAATAGCTGAATCGAATGGAATTTCTAGCTTTGTTTTTTTGATTGTACTAGTTTATATCCCACCAACAATATAGAATCCCCTCTCCAACAACTGTGCCAGCATTTGTCATTCGATTTTTTTTCTTTTCTTTTTTTGTGGTACCAGGGATTGAATTCAGGACTTTGTGCTTGCCAGGCAAGTGCTTATTCTGCCGAACTATCTCCCCAGCCTGTCATTTGATTTCTTGACAGTGGCCATTCTTTCTGGGGTGAGATGGAATCCTGAGGCTGTTTTAGTTTGCATTTCCCTAACAGCCATCAGTGGTGGATACTTCTTCACCTATTTATGGACCGCCTGGACTTCTTCTGTGAAGTGTCTCTTCATTTCATTCGTTCATTGTTTGGACTGGGTCTTGTATTTTGAGAGAGTCCAATTTTCTCCATCTCTTTATGTAGTCTAGATACAAGACAGTTTTCAACAGCTCCAACATGGTATATTGTGCAATAGAGGTAAGTATTTTGAAAGGAACCAGACCAGTTGATACATAGTGAATGATTGCATTGTTTTCTTCCAGGATACTGTCCAACATTTTCCTGTTACATATAGAGTACATGATCATTGTACAAGGACATATCAGAGAGCAGCGCAATGAGGAATGAAATTTAGAAATATTTATGTGTGCTACAAAGACACATTTAGTGACTATCAATCATTTCAGAATGTTAGGTATGTAGCCACATACACGAGTAGTACCTATACAATTTGTAACTACACGTAAAAGGCTTGTTAGACACTTTTAAGTTACACATGCACACATAAGACCATGCTTAGGAAAGGGCTAGGGAGCACATTAAAATCAAGGGACTCCGGATAGACTGTGAGTGCCCCAGTGCATTGGAGAAAATAGCTCAGCATGAAGCAACTCCCAGTAATTTAAAGCCAAAGTTCTCTTTCTCCCCAGATGAGACACATACTTGGAAAAACACAGGTTAAATCTCTTGTCTTCTTTAGAGTTACTTCCTCCGCTTACTTTTCTTCTTTATTCATTCTAGGGCAGTTGGAGGATCTCAGCTTTGCTATCCATTTCATCCTTCACACGGCAATATCTTCCTCTGAGCTAAAAAAGGCAGCAGCAAGAAGATAGTTTTTAGGAGTGGCAAATTTCCCCCAGAAATCAGGGTTTCCTTCAGGTCAGACAAGGAGGCTCTGGCCCCCACAGTCTTCAGAGAGGGCTGCTTGCTTCCAAACAGAGAGAACAGCAGCCAGGTGTGCAAAGTCATAGGGGGCCAGTGAACATGAGAAGAAACCAAAGGGCTGTGGTACATCTACGACAGTATAAGAAACCCTCTTCCTTGTACTGAAACAAAAGCTTTTGCACTTATGGGAGTTACCACACTTTTTAGTTTTTGGTGGAAAATTAGCTTGTTTGCTCTAATCATGTGTGTCCTGGTTTCTAGCTCAATCTGATGCATCTTAATTGGATTGTTTTTTTCTTTTTTTCTTTCTTTCTTTCTTTCTTTCTTTCTTTCATCTTTCTTTTTTCTTTCTTTCTTTCTTTCTTTCTTTCTTTCTTTCTTTCTTTCTTTCTTTCTTTCTTTCTTTCTTTCTTTTTTGCCTTTATGGTAAAAACCTTCATATATCCAAGAAATGAGACCTTTATGAAACTTTCAGGGTTTTAGTGAAAGCATTTATTCTGTATTTTGACTCCTGAGTTAACTATTGTGAAAAGTACCTTAGTTACATTTTGCTCATTGCTGACACAAAATAATTTACCCCAGAGTTACAGGGGGGAAGGCTTATTTAGCTCACAGGTTTTAGGGATCAGCTGGGTCCAAAGCAGGGTGGCTTGGCAAAGGGGATCACAGAGGAGGACAAGTTCCTTTTGGGTAGAAGACAGCAAAAGCAGCAAGTACAGGGGAGATAAGTCTCTTGTGTCCTTTATACTGTATCCAGTCTACCAGGATTAAGGGCGGTGCCAATCCAATCCATAGACTTATCTAGCAGTCTTAATCCCAGAACCCTTGATCCTAGCATGGTATTAGGAACCAATCACAGACTCTAGATTCAAGCACCTCTGAAAAAACCCCATCTAAAGCAGCAAATGAGGGGCTGGAGGTGTAGCTCAGTGACTGATAGAGCCTTTGCTGAGCATGCACAAGGCCTTACATTTAACCCCCAGTAACCCACAAGAGATGAAGCTTTGAAAACTGCATAAGGTTTTGGTGAGACATTCAGACACAAACCATAGCAGTCTGAACTACTTATTTCTCCAGTGATAACATTTTTTGATTAATTTTAGCATTTATCAAGAGCCAAGTCTCTTGTTACTTTTCAAAGAACAGTAAATCTTAACAGGCTTACTGGGGATATTTGCTCTCAACTCCAACAAAGACGAAGGGGCTGCTTTTGTTATTGCAGACAAAGCGTGGTCCCCATGAAATAATGCAAGGATTTGATAGCTTGAACTCACTTGATTTCATAACTAACAGTTCCAGACAGCTATGTGGAATCTCATTTTTATCTTTTTCTTCTCTCAGGGCTGTATTCTTTACAGCTGCTGTGTTGCCTTGTTAGGCCTTGGGTGAAATAAGCCCCATGTAGGGCTGATGGTATAGAAATCAAGGCAGGAAATGTTCCCAAGTTGCCATGACATGTGGAGGGTTCCTCGCTCCCTACACACACAGGCTCCAATCAAGATGTTTCACATCCCATGCCACTTTTACCAGTGAAGAAAAGCACAGGGCAAGAGTCCTCTCCGCTGCAGGAGAGGTCCTCCGTGCAAATGCAAAGGTCTTGGCCACTTAACTACTAGCAATGACAGTGAAATCCTTCTTATAGCATTTGCCAGAGGTTTCTCTTTGCTCCCGAGTTTAATGTTAATGTAGGGGACGTCACAAAAACAGAAGGGCATACTGAAACAAACAGCAGACAATTCTTTCAATTTGCACAATCATGTCAATATCTTTGTACATGTATGTTACATCTATTGGTGTTGGTAAGAAAAAGACAGGCTG